TCATCATCATCATCATCATCATCATCATCATCAAACGCCAATTTTTGGGCAATGGAACCTAAAACACTTTTCTGTTTCTTTTTTCTCCCAGACGGATCCCAACTTGTCCATCCTTTAGCCGGTTTTAAGATTTTGAGGGCTCTTGGTGTTTTGGAATATTTGGCAGATATTTTTCGCATTTTTCTCAAAGTTTTGTTGAGAGTACCATCTATATCTAATTCAGGTTCTTCTTGAGCAAATGGCAATTCATCCCACGGCACATTTTTGCTTGGGGTTTGTTTCTTGGGTATCTTGACGGGAATTCTCGACGGTTTTAGAGGTGTCGTCGTCGGTTCTCTTTTGGGTTCTCTTCCGGGTGTGACCAGTTCTTATTTGGGGGTGACTTCACTCGAAATTCTTTTGAGCAATTTCTGTTGTATGGGAGTCACCAAATCTCCTCCTTCGTCTTTTAAGGATTTTACCAACTTGGTAGGATCGGCATTGACTGATAACGGTGCTGGTAGTTGTCTCATTTTTTTAACGTAGAGTTCTATATCAGGATCGATCTGTTTGATGGCTTGCTTTTTGAAACCATAACTTGTATTGGGATTCTTTAAAATTTCCATTTTACAAGGCAGGAGTTTGGCTTCTGTATCCAATGTAGGATCGATGGTCAATCGTCCTTTGAAAAGATTCATCATGGCCGGATCTTCGGCTGGAACCATGTACATTTTTTGATAAGCCATATTTCTCTCTGTCTAACAGCAACAAGTCTTGCTGACAGTGGTTAGTCCATTCTACAATTTTCCACCTTTCTGATTTATTAAGGCTTGTCTTCTCTTTTTAAGCGATACGGCTCGATTTCCAATTTGTCTCAGGATTTGTTTCTAAGGTCTTAAACTGGCCATGGTGACGGGTGTGACGGACACGTTTTTGAGTAAATTCATCATGATTCCGCTTACAGCGTTGACTTGATCTTTGTTGGCGTGTTTGATCAGAGCTTTTCTCGTGTTTCTATTAGCTGCTGAAGTAATGGCTTTTAAAAACATTTTCTGTCTACGAATTCTATCCATCTCATTTTTTTTTTGCTTACTCTACTAGAGGATCTATTCCCTGCGGATGTATTACTGTCTTTTTATATATGTTAGTCTTCCGTGACTCTTTTTGATCATCTCCTCCTCCTCCTCCTCCTCCTCCTCCTCCTCCTCCTCCTCAACTCGCCGACAGTCCAACTCGCCGACGCCAATTTGCCGACGTATAAAATCAAGTAGAGACGTCGGCGAGTTGGTCCTCAATCCAATACAACTTATTAAAAGTTAAACATACAGAAAAGTAAACAATATTTAGTACGTGTCTGTTTGTTCGGTTGTCAGAGTCCCAGTCACGTAGATGGAAGGTTGTTTGATGATGGTGTGAAATGCGTTTGGAGCCAACCAACGTTGCGATGCAGCAGTCAGATTTCCTCCATCGGTTTTTTTAAGAATGAAATCCATACGAAAATAACTTCGGCTAAAATCGATATATTCGCGGCTGCCTGGTATCACGAATTCTATAGGGGTAATACTTTCTCTGGTCGGATTGATTTCCACAATACGGTATCCATTGTAAGTGATGTTGGTAGGTGGTACTGTAAAAAGATCTAAAGCACCATCTTCAACCTCTCTCGATTTGAAGTGGGCCGAGGAGGCCTCACTGCCTCCGAACATGATGCTCATCTTTCAAGAACTGATGAAGAAACGCTCACTAAAAAGCTTTTTATACTTCTCTGTGATGTGTGGGTAAATCTTTTTTTTCTACCTATACTTATACTTTTTCTTCATTTTCATACCTAAGAGTTTAAAGAGATTCTTGCCTAGGAATTTTCCTATTTGATATCCTGTTCCTAGAGTTCTAAATATCGGCACCTTGGCGGCCGAAAACTTTCCTCCTCCTCTTTGCCTTCTAAACCATCCTGCAAGTTTTTTTCCAAATCTGTATCCTGGAGAGACTATTTCTCTGAATCTTTCACTTAA